ATCTATCTATCTATCTATCTATCTATCTATCTATCTATCTATCTACCATCCATCCATCTATCTATCTATCTATCTATCTATCTATCCATCTATCCATCCATCCATCCATCCATCTATCTATCTATCTATCTATCTATCTATCTATTTGTTCCATCCATCCATCTATCATTCTGTTCCATCCATCCATTCATCCATCCATCATTCTGTTCCATCCATCCGCCCATCATTCTATTATATTGTTCTATTTGTTCCATCCATCCATCCATCCATCCATCCATCCATCCATCTATTCATCATTCTACTTATCGTTCTATTGGTTCCATCCATCTATCTATCTGTCTAGAATTTATTATATTTATTTTTATTATACTAAATTATTTTAAGTAAATAAATTAACAATAAGGTGGTCCATATATTAATAAGGTCTAACACCTTGCCATTCAGTCACCAATTTGTTTGCACATATGATAATGGCCCAGATTGGAATTTGTTTTTGCTGTCATCCAAAAAGATGTGTCCCAAAAAAAAATCAAATTTGAGCCACATTGATGTGGCTGTGGTGTGAATGTATAGTCTATGAATATCATATCTCTTTGAGTACACATGTATTAAAAACATGAAACATTGTACATTTCACTAACACATACACTCTCAGGAAAAGGAAAAAAAAACCTCAGATTCTGGTGGAAAATACCCATACTATGTAATGGTATAGTCACTGCATGGCGTTCCATTTTGTGCCTGGTTCATAATGCACTCCAAACCATTTTCATCAGAATGCACTATAAGAAACACAATATGATCGAACACACAAACAGACCCATGGGGATGTGTTTGGCCTTTCCAAAAGACAGCTGCAAGATTTTCAATACAGTGCTAAATTGGACCTTCAAGACATTGATTTGGTACAGCTGGACCGAGATGGCAGGCCTGCATGCTGGAAGCAGGTGAGATGCAAGAAAACATATGTAGAAAAATGAAAATCAATGCAAGGTTTTAATATTGCAGAAGTAGTGCTGCTTTGGTAATTAAAGAAAATGGCAGGCATCAGGCTGCCATTAACGTAGTATGGTCCGAGTCACTTGAAGAATGGTCGAAAAGGTCTATTAGTCTATTAAATCCATGAATCTATAAACCTGTCACTTATTATTTTCTACAGGTTGTCATTTGAGTTCAATACACCCACAGCCTGTTTGTACAAAATGTACACTATAATTCTTTAGTGAATCGCTGTGATTTAACCATTACTTTCTGAGCATCTTATGATGTATTTAGTAAATTACAGAGTTAAATTGCACATCTTGGTAAGATCTCATCAGTGTTAAGTAACTAAAAGGATGTACTGGATACAAGACAGTTAACGTATAAACTTGAACCAAAGTCGGTTCAGAGTGACTACAACACATTTCACAACACTGGGGTCAAATTGCAGTGACATCACTCCTGACTACATCAGTCCCATGATGATATCAGAAGAATGACATAATGCCTGATAAAACATGATAGTGGGACATCTGCATTGAAAAACCTCTGTTATGCCTCAGGCACACTGTAAAATAAATTGTACTGTATAAAGTGGATTATACACCATATAAAATGATTTTTAACACAAATGTAGTCTTTTTTATTGTGTATAGTGCAGTGTTCTTTTTGTATTATTTATATACTATTTTGTTTTTAGTAATATTTTGGATCACGTTTTTGTTTTAATATTGAATTTTATTTCAATTAAATTTTGTTATGTAATTTTGTCATTTTTATTAGTTTTTGTTTGTTTTTGAAATATTACCATTTAGGTTGAATTTATCTTTGTTTCATTATTTATTTGTATTTATTTTTAATTTCCAGTTATTAATTGTAACTAAACTGATTTTAGTTAGGTAACAAGACAATCTTTCTCATTTTTTCATCTAATGTTTAGATTTGATTTTATTCCAGCTTTATTTTTCAATCATTTCAACTGTTTCAATCATTTTTGTTTTAGTTAAAAATAATAACTCTGTAAAGTATGACATATCTGTCTATAATTGTTCAATATCTCAAATAATTTTCAATTTTGCCTTTTCTAAATTAAATTATTTTTTTTATTTTTTTAAATAATTTTAACTATAATGCATGCAGTTTTTGTTACTTAAATATATTTGAGCAAATATATAGAATATTTGCATTTAAAAATTTATTTGTCCAATGCATGGCTAAGTAAAAAAAAAAAACTAATTAAAATGGTTACAGCAACTAAACTTACCCTGCATATACTCTTACGTATACATTGATTTTTACCTACATTTTTAATCTTGAAGACACCTATCAATGTGTTGGGTATCATTTCTCATATGCTTGATTCTGCTAAAAGGAATGTTACTTGTTTTATGGCAGCTGGGACTTGGTGTCAAGAACCGTCTGGCTGTTTTGTGCCAAGAACCGAATGATAAACGTTTGAGATTTGGTGATCAGCTGACAGTTTTCTTATTTCCCCTTTGCTCAGAGGGATCCTGGAATCTAATTCCAACATGGCAGCCTCAGAATCAAAACTAGACCCAAGTGTTTGGGGAAATGTCATTTTTAATTAAATCCCAGGTTCTTTAAGATAAACTGTTAGACTTTAATTTCACCTGGGGCATCAAGCACGGAGCCAAAATACCATTATGTAAGTCTGTCACAGTCAATGATATCTAACCGCCTGCTACAGCGGTTTTGACTGGCTTGTTGAATGTTAATAGCATTATGCATAATCACTTTAATTATGATAGGTGATTCACTCTAAATTTTGGTTCCTAATATTATTTAATGACAACAACAATGATAACTCAAACTAAATAATAAGTATTGACAAAAATTAGTTTTACATGAAGGTGGATTATAAAACCGTCTCACATGTTATGTAGCCTATTCACACACACACACACACACACACACACACACACATATATATATATATATATATATATATATATATATATATATATAATCAGTTATTGTCTCCTCCAAGGCAAACGGAATTTAAATTTTTTATTTTTTATTTTATTTTTTTTACAAATTTCACGATTCAGAGGTGTATTTTCTGAGAGGACCTTATTAATCTCACATGTCTCTTCTAGAGTTTCAGATTAGATCTTAATAGTTTCACAAATGCTCAGTTTCAGTATGAAATCAAACGAAATTGTATAGCTGAATTTGACAACATAATGAAACAATTGTCCAAGCTCTGAGCAATAAAACTTCTAGGATCTGTTACATTTATTATTTTATCTACTGCTTATAATAAAATATGACCTATTTAAAGTTGGTATGTGTGTGCTTAATATAGACTATTACATGTATTATTTTATATATTACAGGCTTACAGTAAATGGTGTTTGAGTTTACAGTAGGTGTGTATCTCATATGTATTGTGGGTTCACAGTAGGTGTGTGTATGTGTGTTTCTTCGTGTCTCAGTTTCCGCCTCCATTTTGTCAGCGGTATATATGTGTGTGTGTGTGTTTCTCTGCTAAAGCCAGTGAGGAAAAATAACACACACACTAAGTCTTCAGCGGGTTTATTTTTTTTTTACACAGATCACCAGAAATGGACGGGTGAGCATTAAAGGCGCTCTTTATTTATATATATATATATAAAACAATTATTTGAACGTGAATTAGAAGAGTTTATTCACACTTACTGGAATGCTAATGCTGCTAACACGCTAGCGCTGTAACACTTGAACAGCCGTTGTTTCATAATCTTATTGTAACGGTTGTATTGTATTGTCTTGTATGAAATGCCAAGATATAAAAGCACAAGGACTCAAATTAGTAAACATAACAAAAATGTGTCCAAAAACAGCAAGCATGCGTTAGCAGGTTCGCCTCACTAGCTGTTTGTTTGCTCACGTTGTGCACGCAAAATTGAACAGTAGTTTAATTAAGCGAGTCTTTTAACTAGTTTGATTTGTAATTAATATATTAATGTGCTAGAATTTGATTTCATTCCCAAGTGGGCCACATTTAGGTTGTAATTACATGTTTCTTTTGTTAGCCTCACGTTAGCTTTTATACCATCAGAAAATGTATAAAATAAAACCCCTCTCAGTGATTATAAAATGTGTCGAGTTGCATTTAAAACTGAAAAACATCTAAATGTTGATAGTTAATATGTTAGTTATGGTTAACCAACTAACCCCAGTCTGTACTCTAGGGCTGTGTGTCAAAACCTAGTGAACTGGTTGTCACCTAGACGGCATTCTGGACATTATAGTCCCCAAACCTAGTAACCTGGCTACCTACATAGCATTTTTGGACATCATGATGCCATGACCTAGTGATCTGCCTAACTAGTTTTAATTTTTGAGCATCTAAGTCTCATAACCTAGTGTAGGGTGACCATACGTGCCATTTTCCCTGGCCAGGATTTCTATATTGCCTAAAATATTTAGGTTTTGGCTTTGTTTGCGTGTGCAGTCTGATCGGTGTATGACATCCAAACCAAAACTAAGCCAAAACCTAGATATTTTAGGCAATATAGAAATCCTGGCCAGGACGCGTCCTGGGAAAATGGCACGTATGGTCACCCTAACCTAGTGACCTGCATGCAGTATTTTTAGCCTCAAAATTAATTTAGCTAGATATCAAAATATCCTTTATGAACTTTATAGTCCTGAAGCCTAGTGAGCAGCCTACCTAGACAGCATTTATAGGTGCATTTCTGGCCTGCTAGAGGAAGAGTGGGATAAAGTGATGATGAAATACTGAAATGTTCATCAGCTTAATTTGTTGTGTCATAATAATGGAGGGGATTTGAAAAGATTCAGATTAAAGGATTTCTAGCCCTCCCCTTTGTGCATGTAAATTCCTGGTGTTTAGTATCTGATCAAATCTCACATTGTGTTTTCAACAGCATTGGTGACGTCGCAGTTGGTGTAAAGGTAAACACTGTTTTCAGTATCCTTTGTGCAGTATGTAGTCTGGATGATGGATGGATGGATAGGTGGTTCCTAAATAATCTCATGGAGGATTTTGCAGTGCAATAGCAACCTGACAAAGGCAGCATAGTACATCATTCATGATCGGAATTTCGTTTTTAATAGATGGCTGCCTGTTGCAGTGGTGAGAACAAGTGGAAACCACAACAGAAATTTGACCCCATAGATACCAGAGCAGTGTGGTTAGTTTCCTCTACCGCTGTTACATGGTAAACTAGGGTTTTTTTTTTTTAATAATTACTCTGAGATAGGACTCTCTCGATTACAAAATTGGCATGTGATTAATTGCTATACAAATAATTGCTCTTTAAAGTGTCAGATTAGCTATTAAGCTTAATGCAGATGCACCTGTAGAAGCAGTATATTCACGTTGAACTTGGAATGTTTAAGTCTTTGTACATAAATATTGAACAAGGATATAGTTACTAATATTTTTTTCTTAAAGGGGTCATATGATGCTTTTTAAAGATCATTATTTTGTGTATTTGGTGTAACAGAATATGTTGACATGCTTTAATGTTAAAAAAACACATTATTTTTCAAATACTGTACATTATTGTAGGTCCTCTATGCCCCGCCTCTCTCAAACACTTCGTTTTCTACAAAGTCCCTCCTTCCACAAGCGCAGTCTGCTCTGATTGGCCAGCTGACCCAGTGCATTGTGATTGGCTGAACAGCGCAAGCACTCGTCGGAAATGTAACACCCCTTACCATAATCGCGAGCTTCATCTTTCAAAATAAATGTAAAGACAGAGCCCAAAAGGGCAACAGAGCCGCGTGAAAGACACAGTGATGAAGCTGGTATGTGTGCAGTACACAAGCCACGGTTAAGACAGCTGACTCCACTATGATGTGACCCCCTCTCTCGCGCTCACGCTCTCTCTCTCTCTCTCTCTCGCCCACACACACGATGCGCAAAACTCCGCATTTGAACAGTCAATAGCAAATACTTAAACTAATAACAAAACAGTAGCTGATTCAGAAGCGCCAGATTGTCATAGCAAAGTCAGAATGACCTCCTCTCCTAGGTTCACGAAACGGTCGTCCATAAAATGCATTGCTGTTCTGTTGTAAGTAATCTTAAAGATTCCTAAATGCATCTACTTTCGGAAGGCCAAATAAAGTGCTTTTGCTTTCGCCTAGAAACACACAGCGTCTCCCTGACATGGCTGCTTCAACACTAACTGCGGTTACAGAAACCACACCTACTTTCTCTGTGTGCACATTTGGGTGGCAATATGCAAATATTTCCACATAGTGAGGTAGATATGTGGGGGCGTGTTAGAACGAGCCATTTTAGGGGGGCGTAGCAGAGTCTTAACTTTGATAAAAGAATATCTCTTTGGGTTTGAGACTTTAGTCTTTGCAACTTCAGGGATCTTATCTATGCACAATCAGCTTGTAACACTAAAGAGAAAGGAAACTTGAAATCGCATCATATGACCCCTTTAATAGTAATACTTAAAATATTTGCACCTTTTAATATTTAAAATATTGTTTTTTTTATTTCCATTAATGTTGTATGGAACCCAGCCACACTTAATATTGCATTATGGCAATATAATATTGATGATGATTATTCTTTTTTAATATTGGAATATTATGCAATAGTATTTCCACCATAAATTTGTCACATTAACATGCCATTTTAAGCCAGTCTGATTAAACCCATGAGTCATTGACCTTGCAAATGTTTCCAAAATATGACATTATGTATGATAAATGCAAGTGAAGTTTTAGCTTTCACACTTATGTGCATTTCTTGCCATATTTGCTTAAAATTGCCTTTTTTCAATGGCAATGTCTGATTGGAATTAAAAATGAACAGTAATTGTGGTTATCTCAAATCTACACTGCTATCGCACACTTTCTAATTCTTGGTTCGTCCAAACATTGGCAAACTTTGCATAGTTGCCATTAACAGCCAGAATGGGATCTACAAGCAATATTCACCATTCCTTTGCAAACATTTTTTGGTGGTAGATTAATACTGACCTTTATGAATTTTGGTCACTGAAAGTCAGAGGGATGAGCTTAGCCGGAATCAGACATTGTTTATATGTTAGTCATATGATTTATCCAGTTTTGTCTTTAATTGTTGCTGTCCTGTCTGACTTATAAGCTATAGGGTAGAATATGTCTTCGCCAATTTTACTGTCACCTCATTCAAAAATACAATATATGTTTTTGTTTAGTATTGCTTTCAGGAACATAATTTGTCTTCAGGGTTTAGCATTTATTTCCCCTCTTTTTTTAAACGTATTTGCGTATTGCGTGGCGTCAAAGCCACACGACAAAAGACAAAGAAGCCTAGGGTGATGCAAACGTAATTTGTTTTTGAATGGACAAAGAATTGCCAAGCCATTTAAGTGCATTATTGGATTCTTTGTCGTAGAAAGAAAAGTGTTGTGCGGAAATGTAGAATTGTCCCTTATATATTAGATACCGGCCTGTTACAGGTCTCCATCTCCGCTTTTCATAAAATTAGGCTGCTAGTAATTGAATGGGGGCAGTTTATGTCCAAGATAGTTAGAGAAGAACTTGTTCTTTTCCAGAGATGCCTTCTGAACACAGGCCTTTTAACTCGGTTTGTTTGCCAACAACAGAATTTTCCTCCCCGGAAAACAATGTTAGCTGGTCATTCTGGGAAAGCAGGTGGAAAAAGAAGCATTTGATCTTATTGCTTTAAAGTCCTGCTTTTTTTTTTTTTTTCTTCCGTTCTAATCAGTTTTGATGCTGAGGCTTGTCTGTTAAGACCTTGCCATCTCTTAATGCATTCTTCTGCTTTCGGTCGTTTCGATGTGAAACTTCACCATTCCCTTGATTGTTTGTAGTGTCGATGCCCAGAAGGCAGCAGCGGCGGCGGGTTTATTGGTGCCGTAAAAGCAGCGTCCATAAAGAACAATTCGGTGGAGTTTTTGGAAGGCACGAACCTGAGATGATCCTATTAGGAAGTTTGGTTTGCACCGGTTCACCATTTGCCTGCCGTCCCATCCGTCACTTTTAGCTGCACTTCAAGCGGCGGCCTGATCGCGCCGGGGCCCTTCGGGAACGTGGGCAGCTCAGGATGAGATGACAGCATCTGACATCTTAGACTCAACAAGATTAAAGCAACAATCTAGAAAAATAAGGCAGAAAGGCAGAAGCGTGTGGACGTGTGTTTTATGTGCCTTGATTCCTTAAGCTGTCCACAGAGAGCTGTATTTCATTGTTTGGTTGAGGGGATTGTGAAAGGAGAACATCTTTATTGGAGGGTGGGATTTTATTTTTCTCTTTGTGTGTCTCCGCAGAGAGGATCAGATGAACTGCTGTCCGGCAGCATGTATAACAGCCCCAGTTCTGGGCTGAGCAGTATAAGCGGTAAGTGTTCCTGACTTCCCCCCTTTCCAAAACGTGCAGTTTTCTTGACCATGAACGGCATTAAAATAATGAAATTATAACAGATGTTTCAGTGTGATATCTGATCTGAGAAGATCCTATCTGGGAATAACCTTGCGCTCTCATGTAGGTGGGCACCCACGCTTAAAAGCATGTGACCGGAATTGCGATTATGTGTGCTCTGCATCTTATTACAGCTTCTCCAACAATAGATTTCAATATCCCATTCAGTTGAGGAAAGACTTAACCCGATTAAGAGAAGCTTTTGTTTCTTGGGTTCTATCTATTAAAGGTCTTGATTGGAAATATAGTGTGAAATGTAATAGAAGAGAAACTTAAAGTACAGTTAAGACACACTTGCAGTCCTACCCGAGTAATTAAATCAGCATATTTTGTCCTTATGATTTAGCAATTTTCCTCTAGAAATGTGTTTATTCCCAGTATATAATGTCCTCTTTCTGTCCACTTTTGGCAGATACGACATCCAACGGCAGTGACAGCAAAAAACTTCGAGTTGAAGACAGAGTCGGCGATGCCCCACCATCCCGTGTTCTTCACATTAGAAAGTTACCCAACGATGTCTCGGAAACAGAGATCATTGCCCTGGGGCTTCCGTTCGGAAAGGTCACCAATATCCTCACACTGAAAGGCAAAAACCAGGTGCGTGGGCAAGCTGAAATGTTTTCAATTTCACTTTTGTCAGAGTTAGTGAGTGTTAAAAGAAATTTGCTATTTCTAGTTCGACTAACAGTTTTGAGTTCACTGAGTTCATCTTACCTCATCACTGAAATAATTTTTGTTTTAGGCGTTTCTGGAGCTCAGCACAGAGGAAGCTGCCATGACAATGGTCAATTATTACTCTGCTGTGACGCCTCACGTCCGTAGTGTGCCGGTCTACATACAGTACTCCAATCACAAAGAACTCAAGACCGACAATTCAAACCAGGTAACAAATTACCTGACTTTTTCAGAAAATTTAAATGCTTTAAGGGACAGCCAAACAGAACTTAAAATCCAACTATGCTGACCAGTTTTTGGACCAGTGAGATTGTGCTTTGGGCAGAACAGTCAAGACACATTTTTTTTTTCTATTTATTGAGTGCATGGAAACTGTTCCTCTAGCATGGCCTTTTAAATTTACACTACTGTTCAAAAGTTTACGGTCTGTAAGATTTTTAAAATGTTTTTCAAAGAATGTTATGCTCAGCAAGAGTGCATTTATTTGATAAGAAATGCAGCAACAACAGTAATTATGTGAAATATTATTACAAATTTTATTTTATATATATATATATATATATATATATAAAATGCATTTTATTCCTGTGATTGCAAAGCTGAATTTGTCATTACTTGAGTCTTCAGTAATGATCCTTCAGAAATCATTCTAATATGCTGATTTGGTGCTCAAGAAACATTTCTTATTATTTTTAATGTTGAAAACATCTGTGCTGTTTAATATTTTTTTGGAGAACATTCATGGTATTTGTTGGAAATATATTTAATGCAAATAGTATAAATTGTGAAGAAAATTGTTGGGTCCAAAGCCAACTATTAAATGTCCTTATTATATGCTGATTTTACTTAAATTATTTAAAATCTAATTTCACATTTTTATTTTGAGGTGAAATATGACCCAGACATTTCTTTGTGAGGTTCACTGTCTCATGTTTTTCTTAAACCCACTTGTTTATTATAATAACAACAAACTCTCATTGATTGTATTATCTGAATCCATTAGTTCTGGTTTAACAACTGTCTGGTCGTATACCTTGTAACTTCCACAGAGCAAATCATTCTTTCTTTTTGTATAAACTGTCTTGCTCTCACTCTTTGAAAGCTAATGAACCATAGACGTGGCACTACCCCTTTGCTCATCTGATAAAATCGACAAATTTTCTGTGTTATTTAAACGTCAAGGGGTCATGTGGGGTCAGTTGTGACTTTGTTTGTCCACACCATAACTTTAAAAGGTGGTTTCATGTCTACACAAGCATGGCAATCACAAAGAACCGGGTAAAACTCTGTGAATCAAATGCTTGAAACTGTGACGCTTTCAGCTTTACCTGGTCTTCAATCTCCTGCATGCCTCTTAAAAACTTCATAACTCTGCCGTTGTTCAGGTCATTATTATCATTATCCGATGCTCCTCTTTATTTTTTAGTATGAATGTATCCTTGCCCTGGTACTGGGTAACTACATTTGGCACAATTATTTGCTTATACAATGTAGAAATGCATAAAGCAGCCATTCTCTGACCAAACTCCTGCATTTCCTGTGTACACTGACCTGTATTATATTTTTTGTCCCCCCCCCTCATTTATATTCTGCATTTGCTTCCCTCTTTTCTCCATTTTGATTTTGTCTCTCTATCATCCTGTCTGTCTCTCTCTCTTTTTCTTTCTCTCCTCATATCCTGTTTTTTTAATCGCTTCTTTTTGCCATGCCTTGACCACACCTCGTTGTTCATGTTTTTTTTGTTTGTTTTGTTTTTTGCTTGAACAAAACTTCGGACCCCCCAATTAACCACCCTGAACCATGATCCATGACCACTTCACCATTCTGCGGGAAACCACCCTCCGTTATGGATGATCTGTTCATCTCCGCTCTTCCTCGACTCTTCTCTCTTCCTGTCTTACGCTGCTTGCTCTTCTCTCCTTCTAAAGATGGTTACGCCCCAAAGTCTGTTTACCCTCTTCGGTATGTTATCGTTAGCAATCTACCTCTTTTTTGTTTATCTCTTGTTAATTTCATTTCAGTTGTTTTTTTTGTTTTTGTTTTTTTTAATCTTTCATTTATCATTTAAGGGTTAGCTAATAATCTGGCACTAGTGTAACAACAGTTTCTTAGTTTTCCAGTTGAATTTGTTTAGTTCTATTATGCCAAGTTTCAAATTAAATAGTTTTTTTTTTCTTTCATTAATTTGTTTTTCCTTGGCTTTCGAAGCCTCTGTCTCTATCTTGCTCTATCTGTCTCTCTTCATGTACAGCTTATATTAATGCATGGTTGATTGTTTTGCATGTAGGTTTTTGTTTTTTTACTTTGCCATATCACATGAGCTTGTTTTTGGAGGGCGTATCAAATAAGCTGTGTCTGTTAGAAACACTGTTTTGGACTTTTTGGTGTAGATAATTTGGAAGATTTGTACCATCATCTTCACCTTTCATGTCGCTCTTCGGTATGTTCTTGTTAGCTCTACCTTTATTTTGTTTGGTTTATGTTTTTCTTATTATTCATGTGCTTTATTTCTTTTATTTAAAGTCAACATGAAATGAAAATTGACAATTGAATTTATTATTAAATGTTCCTATGAATTTTGGCCAATAATTTTCTTTTATGCCCAGTGCTGAGTATTGATGGATTTTGCATGTCTGAGAACCCATATCCAAATAAAAAATTCAATAATTTTTATTTTTGCTTTTAGATCTTATTTTGCAGTCAACAAAGAATTTAACTGGTTTTATTGGCAATAAACATTTCAATTAATCCAACTTAAATGGTACATCTTTTTAAATAATTTTTTGTGGCTTTCACTGTTTGTTTATCTGTATTTTGATATTAAAGAGCCAATTAAGTGGAAAAAGATAACTATTTTTTTAAAATATCATTTCAAACCAATTATTGGTTTGATCTATTGACTTATTTTTGGTGACCAATAGTGTACTAGTTGTTTAGTAATTGTTGAAGCTACTTTTCTAAAATGTTACAAATAATTAATGCAGACACTTAGTGCTAGTTAATGTAAAAAAGGTTACAATATAATGGCACTTTAATTTCTTAATAGCAGTGAACTTTACATAAATTTTTCGCCTCAAAAGTGAGTGCTGGTTATGGTGTAGCCCTTTAATCAACTGCAAACTCTCACTCTGGCTCTGTTCTAGCGTAGAACATCCACTTTTTATTAATCAATTCCAAATGGATCAAATCGGATCCAGCCCTACATATTTTTCCTGTTGAATGTTCTTGGAAGTACATAACATTACGGAAATAAAATGGATTGCGAATGCCATTGCATGTTGACTTTAAACCATTACCATTAATTGGCTTTTAGAGTAAACGTTTTTTGCTTTTTTTTTTTTTTTTTTCTTCAGGCTTTTGAAGTATTTAATTTGTTTCAGTGCATGTGATCTTTGGTTGAGTTTGCACAGTATTTATGTTCCTCCTTAATTCGTTTTGAATTTGAGGGTGTATGTATCCGAGTCTTCTTGTCAGGTTGTGATTAGTTTTCTCCATTTCGATGAACGTTCTTTGAGTCTATCGGTCTATCTTTCCACTCTGTGAGTCTCACTCCTTACTCTTTCCTCCCCCTCTCGTTTCCTCTCCGGCTGCTGGCTGCTCTGTTCGCAGGGGTTTATGGGGATGTGCAGCGTGTGAAGATTCTTTTTAATAAGAAAGACAGCGCACTGATACAGATGGCCGATATGAACCAGGCTCAGCTTGGTAAGACTGCATACTGAAACATCTCTAACAGCACAGCCGTTATTGTCATGGCTAAGTTTACACGCCAGTCAAATTCAATTAAGTTGCAAAATACACTGGTGTTTGATGATTTAAAAAAATAAATTAATACTTTTATTCAACAAGAATGCATGAAATAGATCAAAATCAACAGTAAAGACGTTTATAATGTTACAAAATATTTCTATTTAAAATAAATATATATTTTTTGCATTTTCTATTCATCAAAGTATCAAAAAAGTATCATGATCTCCTTTGAAATAAACTGTTTTCAACATTAATAAGAAATCTTTCTTGTGAATATAAGCATATTAGAATGATTTCTGAATGAGTAATGGCTGCTGAAAATTCAGCTTTGCCATCACAAGAATAAATGACATTTTAAAATACGTTCAAATAATATTTAACAGTATTACTGTTTTTACTGTGTTTTTTATTTTTTTTTAAATGTTGCCTTCATAAGCATAAGAGACCTTTCGTTTCTCACCCCTTCATTTCTTTTTGTTTGGATGTGCCTCAGCAATGAGCCATCTAAACGGTCAGAAGATGTATTCAAAGATCATTCGCGTTACGATGTCGAAGCACCAAACTGTTCAGTTACCAAGGGACGGTTTAGACGACCAGGGTCTCACGAAAGACTTCACAAACTCACCACTGCATCGTTTCAAAAAGCCAGGGTCCAAGAACTTCCAGAACATTTTCCCTTCTTCTGCCACGCTGCATCTGTCAAACATCCCGTGAGTAAAAAGCTGTATTCGGCACTTGTCAATCTTTATGTCAGTCGTCGGGGAGCTAAGTCATTTTTCTGTCATGTTTTGAAGGCAAGACATAACTGAAGAAGACCTCCGAGTCCTGTTCTCCAACTCCGGTGGCACTGTGAAAGCTTTCAAGTTTTTCCAGTAAGTCTGTCCCCATTCAGATCCTCATGAAATGATGCTTTTGACTTTTCTTTCATTCGTGTGACCGTTTTTGCCGGCCTTTTTCTCTGCAGAGATCATAAAATGGCCCTAATTCAGATGACGACCATCGAGGAAGCTATTCAATGCCTCATCGACCTCCATAATTACAACATGGGTAATAACCACCACCTGAAGGTCTCCTTCTCCAAATCAACCATCTAAAGCAACCCGAGAGGTCTTGCTCCCAACTGCTTTTCTAGCGTTACCTGTTGACTGTTTAAATACACTGGGGACCACAATTTTGAGAATTTCTTTTCCCAAGTTCCATTCCACAAGAAGTTGTTGAAAGAAGGAAATATTGTGACTGTTTTCAAGGACATTTTGTTTTTTTACCCCGTTTCCTCTTGTCAGCGCTCTGACACAACCTCTTCAGTGGCGGAAAGGTGTTTTGGTGTAAAGTCTGAACCTCTTACAATAAACCGAAAAGAATGTGCCTTACAAAACTTACAGAAATCTTTTCATACTTCATATTCTCAAACCCAGGCAGTCTTCTGAGCGTGAGATTAAGTTTTGTTAAAACAAAATTTTTTTTTCCCACTTTTGTGTCTGATCTGTATAATGTGTAAAAGCCTCTCAGACGTTTTCCTTTTTATTTCTTGCAGTTTGTTTGTTCAGTTCTTAATGTCTGTGACATTTTGATTTAAGAATTATAAATAAAACTGTGATTCTCTAGTGATTGTCACTGAGATGTTAGGCCCATTCTTAACCCACCAATCCCGCTAAACCTTATGTTGTTTGAAAGGAAACAAGAGAATGAAACCTTTTTATTTGCTCATTTTACACCATTTTCCTAGCTTTTCTTTCATCTATGTGCATTGTCTTTATCCTAAGTGGAAGGTTATGACATACTTTTCTCTGCATGTACCAACTGGTGCATCTTTATTCCTAGTGTTGCATGGATTGGAAATCACTTCTTTGTGTGAATTAATTTTTAATTTTTTTTGAAAGACGAGTACAGTAGATGGGACCAAAGTTTATGTGCCTAAAGTCTTAATTTACTCCAAGATTGAGCATTTTAGTTCACTTTTTAGAAGAAAAGAGACTCATGGACAGGCTTATGAGAAGAGCTGTAAAAAAATTAATAATATTGATTGGCAATCCACACTACAATTTATGAGAGGGACAAAAGGATTGTGTATATTTTGTTTAGTTTTTTTTAAAAACCCTGCAGGAATGTATGATTCGGCATAGTTTTAGATGTGGCACAATTAAAAAAATTTCTAACAAAAGCGGGGAGATTTGACTGTTGTGTGTTTTGATTTCTCTTTCTCTTTCCTGTTTTCTGCTTTTATCTGTAGCATGCTTAATAAACACTTGTGTAGTTCTGTATTTGCTTTCTCTCTCTTTCGCCCTCCACGGCTGTTTGTTCCCTCTTTTAATGGTTCTGACGTTTTCTCTTTCAGAGTGGGAAAAAAACTTCAGAAAGTTTGAAGTGTCAATAATTTTGGCAAAACTGATTTGGCCAAAAATGAATTTAGATTTGTTTGGCAAGAAAAGTGTTAAAAAATACCATTTCCCACTCTGTAAATCCTTTCGCTTGTGACCCATCCATCCTTCCTGGATATGAAATTGCTTTGCCTTTTACTTGATCCTTTTAGTTGACACTTAATTCTGTATCACATGCTCATGTGCTTCAGCCCTTCCACTCCTAAAAACATTGATCCATGCAGTGAATTTCTCCGCTTTTTTCTTTTAAATTAGTCTGAATTTGCTGAATTTTGCATGCACTTTAAAACAATCCATGACCTTCATTTATTTCAGTATGTATCTCTTTGTTTTCGAATATGATCTGAGACTATTGTTTTTATAATTAAGTACTACTTTTGTGATACTAAGTGTTTACCCAAGCATTGAAAAGATCGTTTCTTTCTCTTCAAAAGAAGATATTTTTCTGTTGTCATTTAAAACATTAAAAAGTGCATGAAATCTGAGCTGCCACACATATGTGGTTTGACATTTTATTGAAGGTGGTATTTTGGAATGTAAGTTGTTTTTGGTTATTCAGGATGTCAGGTAGTGTTCAAATTCACACATTTTCACTCATCATTTCCCCATGTGCTGAATATATGGCGTTTGCTATATAGTGAATAGCAAACTAATGAACAATTTAAAGATTGCAGACACAGCATGTACATAAATATGAGTAAAAACACCGTAATGCTCCATTGCTTATGCTGTATTGTGCATCATTATGAAATCTCTGGGTGAGATGTCATAATGGACATGAGCAGAGGAAAAAAATTAAGTTTTTGTCTCTCGTTCCACAACGAACCCTTTTCTACATTAGCAGTTGCATAAGAGTGTTTCTCGGCATCAAAAGCCCGGATTTGAAAGCAAAACTTGCGTGCAATAAAACCTAAATGAAATTTATATAGTGAATAGCAAACTAATGAACAATTTAAAGATTGCAGACACAGCATGTACATAAATATGAGTAAAAACACCGTAACGCTCCATTGCTTATGCTGTATTGTGCATCATTATGAAATCTCTGGGTGAGATGCCATAATGGACATGAGCAGAGGAAAAAAATTCAGTTTTTGTCTCTCGTTCCACAACGAACCCTTTTCTACATTAGCAGTTGCATAAGAGTGTTTCTCGGCATCAAAAGCCCGGATTTGAAAGCAAAACTTGCGTGCAATAAAACCTAAATGTGAACGTATATTTTCAATGAATATTTGGTCACTTTCTAGACTGTAGGCTGTGAGGCTTAAACCATTAGTCACATGGGTCCGAAAGTTTCTTTTCTTTTTGCCTATAATATGTACTTAAACTATTAAAAATGTACATATAGTTAAAGGGACAGTTCACTCAAAAATGAAAAATTCTGTCATTAACTACTCACCCTCATGTCGTTCCAAACCCTTAAGACCTTTGTTCATCTTTGGAACAAATGAAGATATTTGTGATGAAATCCGAGAGCTTCTGACCCTGCATAGACAGCAATGCAACTGAAATGTTCACCCCCCCCCCAAAAAAAAAAAAACGACTTTATTCAACAATTTCTTCTCTTCCGTGTCAGTCTTCGACACTTTGGAAAGACATGAGGGTGAGTAATTAATGCATTTTTGGGTGAGCTATCCCTTTAAGCAATATTACACAAGTTATTGTTTTTGTTTTGATGAAAATATATTTTAAATTTAAAACCGAAGCTCCTGAAATATGATTATAATAAGTACAAGTTATTACAATGAGTAATGTTGTGAATACAACATTGCAAATTCTTTATACTTTAGTTTTTCCATTGTTCATGCTTTAGCGTTTTGTTACAAAAAGTGCGTATTCACAAAACATTGTTAGCGATACTGTATCCCACAATGCCATTCCTGGAAAGAACTGTAGATAAGAACAGATGCCATTTTTGACTCGTTTGACTAGACTGCCAAGTTTAGACAATTTTTAACACGCGTATGAATAAACAAAGCAGCAAAAAGTTTTTTCACATTATTGCTGCACATGTACTTAAACTATTTAAAAAAATTAATATTCGATATATTTAAGAAATATTAAGAGAGTTGATATTTAAATGTTAAAATCTGAGTACAAATGTTACTATAAGTGAAGTTGTGAATGCAACATTGTGAATTCTTTATGCTTTAGATATTCATTGTTCATGTTTTAGCATTTTATTACAAAAGTATTCACAAAACATTCTGACTATGATGTGACTTTCCAGATCAGTTGTGCATTTGTGTCAGATTACATGTATTGTAATATTACGTTTGTAAAGGTCATTCATTTCATATGTATGGTGCATTTGAGTGTTAAGTCACTAGCAAAATGCTTCATTTTATCGTTATGTTCAGCTTCAGCACACAAAGCACATCAATTAATATTGACTTGATTATTTGAAAGTCGTTCTTCTTCGAGAACATTGTAAATGGTGTCATTTTCATCAGCAGTTGTTTTTATTTACATCATTTAATTACAGTAAAGATGAACATTTTTGTCTAATCTTTGTCACTGACCGTCAAAAAACACTTCATTAACAAATAGTTTCCTTTAAGAATATAATTTTTTTTCTTCCATTTAAAAAGTAAACACCATTTCAACTTATTTCAACCTTCTCCCCCAATCACTCCTTTGATTGAACTGATTGACAGTCATTTTTAATGTGGTGCAGCAGCAGAACTCAGTTTGCCTTCCTTTTAATGGAGATGCAGTTGAACGCCTGCTGTTGTGATATTGTATTCCATTTACTAAGTTCACTGCTTGATCATCTGCGAGTCTAACTGCTAATCTATAATCGCTGCAGTCAGGCAAGTCTGCTCATTTAAAGGGCCAGACCATCTCAATACATCACCTGCTCTCATAATCTAAGCGTGCGTCAAGCCTGTTGCCCCTGGTGGTGTGACATCTAATTCAGCTTGGGTCCTCTGATAATGACAGTATCGATTTAGATTGTATGTGGTGTTTTTTCTCTCTTCAGCAGGCATGCTTGTCTTTTTATGCTATGGTTACTTCAAGATGAGTGCTCAGTCGGCCCAGTGGGACTGTGGGACTGTCATGTGCCATCTCCAATCACGTGGGTTTGAACGTAGCTGTCTGTATCTGGCAAATTACATCTGTTTAGCTTCTGTTTGTTCTGCATTTGCCTGGAGACAGATGAAGAGCACTGTGTGGTACAGGGGGATTTTTGTACACATGCAAGATTTGCTTTCCAGAAACACTGGATATATTCTGTTTTCACTTTTCAGGTAATTAGTTTCATTGGGGCTCTTTCACAAGCAGAATGAATTTCTGTTTTCATTGTTTGTAACACAATTTTCCATTCTAACATAAATCGATGTATTCAGTTCAATTCTTCTATTCAATATTGTTTACAAAAACATGACGTAAATGTTCACATTCAATGCAACAACTATTTAGTATTCACTTGAACTGTTGCATTACATGTAACAAAATATTCTTATGCATATGTGACAAAAATAATAATTGCACCAAAAACATTAAATGCACCAACCTTTTTAAGTAAATTGGCACATTTAATTCAATAAAAATGTCATTGTCATGAAACGAAAATATTTAGCAATTTGCCGCATTCAGTGCAAAAAATAAAAAATAAAATAAATAAATAAATAGTTGCATTCAATTGTTGCATTCCATGCAATAACATTTATTACATGAATCATATTTAATGTGACAAAAATGGTGTAAATGTAATGTGGTGTTTTGTTTCATGTTCATGTTGTCCATGTCTTTTATTTTGTAATTGTTTCATGGTCCATGTTAGTGTCATGCTTCCCTTGCCTCATGTCTCTCTGCCTTGTGTATGTGTCATGTTCTGATTGGTAGTCTTAGTCATGTGTCTTGTTTCTCATTGGTTTGTTTAAATTGTATTCAGGGGAACAATAATATCCAGATATTTGCTGCCACTTGTTGCATTCAATGCAACAACAAACATTCTTACTTAAATTTGCACAATTAATGCAACAAAAATGAAATTGTCATTTTCAATGCAAAAAATATAAATATACATACATATATATATATATATATATATATATATATATACACACATACATATATATATATATATATATATATATATATATATATATATATTAACTGTTCCATTTAATGCATCAACAAACATTGTCATTTGTCTCATTCAGTGCAAAAAAAAATATATAATAATAATAAATAGTCATATTCAATTGTTGCATTCTGTGCAACAAAATATTCATATGTAAATTAATGTGACAAATGGTGTAAATTGTATTCAACGGAACAATAATATCCATACATTTGTTTCAACTTGTTGCATTCAATGCATCAACAAACATGTAATTTGGAGCATTCAACTGAACAAAAATTAAGTTGACATATTTGTAAATACATATATATATATTAAAATATAAATTGTTCTATTCAATAGACTAACAAACATTCTTATTTAAATAGTTTCATTCAGTTCAACAAAAAATTAAATTGACAATGTAACACAACATTAACATATACATTGTTGCAATTTATTACCAAACATTCTTACATAAATTGCAGAATTCAGTGCAACAAAAATGGTCATTTTCAATGCAACACAAAATTTATAAATTGTTGCATTCAATGCACCAACAAATATTATTAACTGGTGCATTTAATGCAACAAAAATTAAATTGTCATATTCAACAGTGCACCAACAAACATCCATTATTTAAAATGTGTTTTATGTTGTATTCAATGCAAAAAAAAAAAAAAGAGTTATATAAATAGTTGCATTCAGTGCACCAGCATTTTATGTAAACTCGCACATTTAATGTAACAGAAATTAAATTGTTGTATTCTGTGCTTAAATTTTACATTAATTTTACATTTGTTGCACCAACAA